GCTTCAATGTTCAATGTGTTATGTCTGTTTGTCTGTGTAACTACCTTTTCGTGAAACAGCAGAAGCTTCTCTCACTCCCAAGGACTGAACCTTGGGAGCCGATCTTGCCGGAGTGTCGACGTTAGAAATCTAATCAGTTTGAAATGTATTTTTTATAGATGCAAGAATCAAATATTTGTGTAAGTGATTATCAAAGAAATAATTGAAACTTCGAAAAACTATTAAAAAAAGATTAAAGTTGTAAATATACAATTAATCGATTGTTCGCTACAAAAAAAAAATGCACGATGTATGGGCAGTATTATTTGGACAGAGGAGAAATCACGTTTACTAGGCTTACCAGTAATTTTCGCCGAAATGTTTTTGACTGACAAAATAGTATTATATGATTATAGGGTAGAGAAGGCCTAAGCGCCCATTTTGGGCGTATGAAGCAGAAAACATCATATAAATCTATGATTTCGGCGTTAACAGGTAAATTATGCGTTTGGTACGATACTTTCGTCCAAATGCTACCAAACGAAGTCAATAAGAACGAGTGATATGAATGCATTCGACAGTGTTTGGCATGAAGGTTTGATTGCTAAATTGAAAAAAGTTTAATTTTCACTTTATATTATGAAATTAGTTCAAAATTATTTAACTGACAGAACTCTGCAGGTAAATTATCAAAATTCCAAATCTAATCGACTACCTGTTAGAGCAGGAGTTCCTCAGGGTAGCATTCTTGGGCCTATATTGTATAACATTTTCACTTCGGAGCTCCCTGATTTGCCTCAGGGTTGCCACAAATCTTTGTTCGCTGATGACACAGGCATATTCCGCTAAAGGAAGAAGTCTTCGTGTTATTTGCAGCAGACTGCAGAAAAGTTTAGATATTTTCTCTTCTTATTTACAAAAATGGAAGATTTCTCCCAACGCTTCCAAAACTCAACTTATAATATTTCCACATAAGCCTAGAGCTTCGTTTTTGAAACCTAGTAGTAGTCACATAGTCACTATGAACGGAGTTTCAATTTCCTGGTCAAACCAAGTGAAATATCTTGGATTAATACTTGACCAAAAATTAACTTTTAAAGATCACATTGAGGGCATTCACGCCAAATGTAACAAATATATACAATGTTTGTATCCTCTTATAAACAGTAAATCCAAACTTTGCCTGACGAATAAACTTCTAATATTTATTTATATTAATATTTACGCTGTGCCAATAAGGTCTAGTTGTTGCACTACCAGGAAAAAAGCACTTCAAAGGATTCAGAACAAAGTTCTGAAAATGATTTTGAAGTTGCCTCCCTGGTACAGTTCTACCGAAGTACATTGAATTTCAAATGTTGAGACTTTAGAACAAATGTCCAACAAAATAATTAATAATTTCAGGCAAAAATCGTTGCAATCCTCAATTGCAACGATAAATTCCCTCTTTACTTAGATTAGATTTAGTTTTAGTTTTTAGTTTTAAGATATCAATTGTTATACTGACATGCAGGTTTAAAAAACCTGTTTAAAATACTGAATTGCCAAGACAGGAACAATGTTAAAACACTTAGCTATATGTCATAACAATTAAGACTGGTAAGTTACTGTAGTAACTGGAGCACCTAGGTTAAAATAAAATGTAATTTATTTTAAATTTGTAACAAATAAAGAGCTAAAAAAAAAAAAAAAAAAACTTGCCAGCTAGCATTCATAAAGTATTGATACATGGATCAGCCGTGATTAAACATTTCCTTGTTCCAATTGGTTAGCTTTCTGAGGAAGCACAGGAGGCAGGAACAAGGATTGGAAAAGGTATATGTATTTAACCAAAATAACAACGAATAAATTAATAAAACCTTTATTTAACAGATACCGAGAGTTCAATACCCGCAAGCAATCAAGATTGCTTACAAATCGTGATGTATTGAACTGGCTCCTATAGTATCATCAGATCCATTGATTTAATCAATTTGATTACTAGCATTCGTGGATGGCCTAAAAAGCACTAGAAGCCATTGTCGAACGATGCTAAACAGCTGTTAGCAGAAGAAGCTGAAGGAAACGATAATGATGATATTGTAACGGGTCGGGTGTTTTGGGAAGAGGAACTAGTTACTACTAGGGGAAGTACAACTTGATCTGAAGTAATATTTGATGTAAAAATTGCTCAAATTGGTACATACTTAAACAGAGACCCTGAGTTCGGTAAAAAAAATTACCGTCTTAGATCGGTAATGCTAAAAATTACAGATGTTTTGGTATTTTCTCGCTTTATTGCTGAAAACTGTAAATGAAATGACCGAATTTCGGTAATTTTATTTTAATTTACCGAAAACGGTAAACATTTTTACCGGCAGTTCTGTAAATCAGCTTCATCACTGACTTCGGTGAAATATTTTACTGAAGTTTCGGTAAACAAAGCATTCCGTTACTGAGTTCGGTAACGGTCTAGGTAAACGTCAAATCCACCATATTGTTATTTTCGATCGACATTAAAAGCGTTCGTGCTTGTGAAAAATAAAACAGGTGAAATTATGGAGGCTGTTATGCAACACCAGGATGAGTGAATCGTAGATATTTTCCGTAAATAATTAATTTTCGTTATCTAAATAAATACCGATTACAGATGGCCGATGTTGTTGCTTGTTTTTTTTTTTCTGTCGGTCCAAGTTCCATTCCCGTTGGCGACTATCTTCCAATGCTTCCTTGTTTTCAGTGTAGCGCCGAATCTTTCCGACAAAAACTTAAGTTTTCAGATCGTCACCAACGGTTTTGTTCTTTGGTGGTGCAATTTGCAACACTAACTTATTGATCACGACTGCAGCCAAATTTTTGCATGGGTTGCAGTGACCGCCACCTTGAAACAATATTAAAGCAAAATACAGTTGAGTCGGTGACCTTTTTAAAAAATTACAGATCACTCGGTAATTTTCGATTGTCATATCGTCCTCCAAATTACAGTTCTCCGGTAAAGTCGACTACAAATCAAGCAATGCACATCGGTAAACGTTACCGATCGTTCGGTAAATTTGACAGCTAATTTTGCTGATCCAGTTTACAGATTTTTCGGTAATGTTCTCGATTACCGAAAACATTACCGACTGTTCAGCTGTTGAGAATTCGGTAAATGAATTACCGAAGTCGGTGATTTTTTCTTAGTGTGTAGATATTATAATTTTTAGTATAAATATTGGGGGCGACCCCGGCGTAGTGGTTAGCATCCATACCTCTCACGCCAAAGTCACGAGTTCAAATCTCACCCCCGGACAAGTCACGAATGACCCAAGAGCGTTAAAGTGACTATAATAATAAGAAAAAGAAAAAAGTATAAATATTAATGATATTAACTGTCAAGCGGAAAGCTTCAAAGTAAAAAAAAAAAAAAATAACTGTGTAACTTTAACGCATACACTCAATGACTTTGCACCGTTGTTGTTTATGTTTACTGCAGCTTTCTGTTTGTCATAATTTTTGCCTAGATTTCGACAGCTCTGATCGATTTCGACTTCGGCTTTTCATGATAAAAACGGTACTGGACGTTCCCCCAGCAACAAATCTCTCCAAGTTGCATTCTCATGGCGAATCATACTACGACTACGGGACCATCACTCTGGGCTTCCGTTAACAGGGGCGGCGTTGTCAATCGATTCCCGTTCCATACGAGAACAGCACATTGGTTCACAGACGATGAAGAATTCGTAGAAATTAATTCCTGGGAATGGAAGCACTGAGAACAGCTACAAAAAAATGCAGAATTTATGAGAACAAGGAGCGGATTTTGGTGGCGGTTGCCAGCAAGATCACAAAGGAATGACTTGCCTCTCGTGTGAAATACATTTTTGATTAAACGAATGTCAAATGTACACTTAAAACAAAAATAGTCAAAAACAAACAAAAAACAACTGTCAGACTAAATATAAGATTCGCAAATATCACACATATTAAAATATTTAATATTTCCACCATCGGTATTGATACTGATACTTGGAGCTGTCCTTCCCCTAGAGTTACTACCTTCACTTAAGCGCCAGGTAGACGAATCTACCGTGAAGGAGCCATGGGCTCAAATGGACCCGTCCCGGCTTGGAGACATTAGGGCGAGTTCAATCAAACTCTTAATGGCGGCAATGCGGTTGCGAACTCCGAAATGGGGGACTTACCAACAGGGAAAAGCCTTAATACATCGGCAAAAGAGGTTTCCTATGGTGGTTTTCCTCTACTTGCCTACAGGGGAAACTTATCGAAACGCGGAAAAATGGTGTATCCAATTAGATACTTAAAGGAACAAAACTGCTTTTCTATTCTCCTCAACTAGATTCTAGGGTCTATGGCGTGCCAAGAAGAAAAGGTTTTTTTTTCCAGGTGTGTTGTAAGGCAGGTTTTTCTTTTCTTATTGGTGATGGGGTTAGTAGAGTGTGTACAATGGGCTGGAGTGTACTTATACTTATCTGACCTGTTTTTGGACGTGTGGTTTCGGTGATACGCTGCAGGGTGCCGGTGGGGGTAGTTTTCCACCAACGGCGGGCGTCGTGGTGGTACGACAAATCGTGGTTTCGATGCGATATACCACGCGGCGTGCGTCTTGGGTATCGCGTCGTCGAGCTTCGAGAACGAGGGCACGAGGTAGCAGATTACCCCGCGCTACTAAGGTGAGTTTCCGATCGGTGGGAACGAAGCTTCCCCCACGATTTTCACCTCAACAGGTGGCTATCGACGGATAGGTGGTGTTGTTGTAGAACAGGTAGGCACTGCATAGATACCGATTGATGAATGAATAGAAGTAGGCATTGGAATATTAGGAGTAAGGAATCATTTACAAGTTAAACGTCCAAGAGACAAGAAGTGATTTGTTGCTCTAGATAGAAGAGAAAAACTATAAATCTTGAAGCAATAAAAACTGTATTCGCTTTCAAGAGTTTGTCTTCTTCGTCGCAACAAAATCTTCAAGATTTATAACCCTTTCCATGGCGATGATTCCGTCTTGCCGATGTGGTCGGCCGGATGATGCAGAGGAAAAAATGGTCGAATGCGAAATGGGTTTGCGCTACTACCATTTCTCTTGCGCCGGCGTTAACGACAGTATCGAAGCAGAAGATCGGCATTTCATTTGCTCGGTGTGCCTAGGAAGACCGCAACGTCAGATGATGCCTTCTCGTTCAAAGTCTGGAAAATCTACAACTTCAAGCGCTCGAGCAGCAAGAATCGAGCTGGATTTGCAGCGACTGGAGGAGGAACGAAGAATCCAGGAAAACGCGGCCCAGGAGAAACTACGCGCTGAGCAGGAGTATCTTAAGCGGAAATATGCCTTGTTGCAGGCTCGCCTTGAGGAGCAAAATGATAACGCTAGCGATCAAACTTCGGAAACAATCGACAGCGAGCAAATCGTTCGGTGTTGGCTCGAGAATGAACCAAACGTGAGTACGAGTACTCGAGTCAATGGTCCAAATGTGCAGTCCCCTGCTGCTGGAAATCTTTCCCAGATTCGGATTTTTTCCAAACAACTTCCTCCCATGGCGAATGTTCCCGTAGCAACGGGAAACAATCTCGCGCAGCAGGACGAAGATGTTTCCAGTAGCACGAACATAATACGCACCTCAAAACAACATGCTGAAATTGTTCACATAAATTTTCCCTCACGTGGACAGGTGCAGATGACTTCACAGCAGGAGTTCCCTTCCTCGGCAATGGAAGCGAGCGCTTCCTCCAACGAACCAATGAGCAAAATGATGAAAGATGTTCAAGAGCTTCGAAAGTGGTTTGAAACCATGCAGCAGTCAGCGGTAGAAAATCCACAACCAAATCCGAAAATACATCGAATGAAAGTCTTACGAGAGCAACCGCAGCATGGCGGTGAACATTTGGATAGGACGCTACAGAGAATACAGCCATCCAGCGAACTGTATGAGCAACACGACGATCCAGCGAGAGGTGCGGATAGTTTTTTACAAGCGGAGCAGAATCAACCGGTAGCAGTATCGTCACAAGCGGGACTACGGGTAGCAGAACAACCGTTCCATGCTTCAGCGGCCAGGTGGCCACCTGCTAACCAGAATACATTGCCAACAGCCCCGGTAAGTCAAGCGTGCTTCAATCATTCAAACTGTTCACCAGTCGGGTATTCAATAAGCCAACCCAATGTGACCTATAATGCCCAACGACAAATTGCTTCAAATACGCCTCATGTCAATACCGAACCATGCATACCCTCCATTTCCCTATCACTCGCGAAGCTCCACCGATGCAACAGAACATGTCGCGTGTACCAATCAATCTGTTACCCACCGTGCATGCAGTGTCCAGCAATATCTCGCCAATTGTATCGCCATTCGTATCAACATTCAACAATAGAATCCCGGTGCAATGGCAGGAGCAGGAGCGACAGCAGCAGCATGACCGGCGGCAGCAGCACCAGGAGGAGATGCGGCAGAAGGAGCGGAGGCAGCAGCAGGATCAGCGGCAGCAGCAGGATCAGCGGCAGCAGAAGCAGCAACAAGAGCAGCAACAGATGTTCAGCGCACCCACCCCCCAAAAACTTGCAGCAAGACATGTTGTTCCCAAAGTTCCTTAGTTGCTACCAAAATTCTGCTGATATGTGCGGGTTCTCAGACGGAGAAAATCTCATGCGACTCCAACGATGTCTTCGTGGTGCTTCGTGGAAGCGGTAAGGAGTCACCTTATGAATCCTGCGTCGGTACCTTTGGTTTTGGAAACACTGAAGATCTTGTACGGGCGTCCAGAGATGGTGATCAATTCGCTTCTACAGAAGGCTCGTTCCACACCAGCGCCAAAACCTGAGAAGCTGGAGACGCTCATCAGTTTCGGTATCACTTGTCGGAACTTAAGCGAGCATTTACGGGTAGCAGGTCAAATGGCTCATTTGTCAAATCCATCGTTACTCCAGGAGCTCGTTGATAAATTACCAGCAAACATAAAGCTAGATTGGGCCATATATAAGAGACAGTTTGCTGTAGTAGATCTCAACGTGTTTGGAGACTATATGGGAAACATCGTGGCGGCCGTTAGTGATGTGACTGTACCAAATTCAGCGGACGGTGTGTTCAGTAAACCCAAAGAAAAGGAGAAATTGTTCGTGAATGCTCACTCTTCCGATGGAACAGATTCAAAGAATGAAGGTCATCAATTTAGGAACACACTACGTAAGGAAAATCATCAACCAAAGCCGTGCTTTATTTGCCAAAAAGCTGGTCATAAATCAAAAGACTGCCATGTTTTTTTGGATTTGGATTTGAGCGAACGCTGGAGAAAAGTACAAGAAAATCATCTCTGTCGACGTTGTCTTATGGCTCACGGAAGATTTCCCTGCAAAGCGCCGAACTGTGGAATAGCAAAGTGCAACGAACGCCATCATATACTACTACATCCAGGAAATCCGGAATCTATCACCAATCCCTCAGAAGCACCATCAACTTCAGGAACTGTGTCAATGCATCGCCAACTTCATCATTCTATCATGTTCAGAATCTTACCAGTGACACTCCATGGGAAGAGCCGAAGTCTTGACACTTTCGCATTTCTTGATGAAGGATAATCGACGACACTGATGGAAGAAAAAATCGCAGAAACGTTGGAATTGCAAGGAGAGACGCATCCTCTATGCCTACAGTGGACCGGAGACGTTGAACGAACAGAAGAAAATTCGAAGATGGTTGAATTGGAGATTTCGGGTTTTGGAACTCGGAAGCGACATATTCTGAACGACGTCCATACTGTATCATCTCTTCAGCTACCTATTCAGTCGTTTAAATTCGATGAACTCAGCAAACAATATCCATATCTGCGTGGAATACCAGCACATAACTACCAGGACGCTGTACCAACAATATTAATCGGCTTGGACAATACGCGCTTGAAGCTTGCGCTAAAGGTTAGAGAAGGTAAAAAAGGAGAACCGGTTGCTACCAAAACAAGATTGGGATGGGCAGTATATGGACAAGTACCTGCAGGATCAACAACGGACTATAATCATCATCTGCACATTTGCACGCGGTCATCGGACAGTGAACTTCATGAGATGGTGAAACAATTCTTTTCTGTTGAAAATTTGGGAGTGTCCACCTTGTCACCAGTAGAAGGCACTGAAGAGAAGCGAGCTAAAGAAATTTTGAAGAAAACTACTGTACGACTACCATCCGGGCAGTTCCAGACAGGACTATTATGGAAATACGACAATATCGAACTACCGAATAGCAGACCAATGGCAGAACGTCGATTGCAGTGCCTCGAACGGCGTCTGAAAAAACAACCAGATATGTATGAGAAAGTGAGAAAGCTGATTGCGGAATACGAAACAAAAGGATATGCCCACAAGCTAACTGTTGAAGAAATGAAGTCGCTTGATCCAAATCGTGTTTGGTACTTGCCATTAGGAGTTGTCATCAATCCAAAAAAACCAAATAAAGTGCGACTGATATGGGACGCCGCCGCGAAGGTTGGAGGACACAGCTTCAATTCAGCCATGTTATCTGGACCAGATCTCCTGACTTCGCTCCTATCGGTTCTCTGCAGATACAGACAACGAGAAATTGCTATCAGTGGGGATATAAAGGAGCTGTTTCATCAGATCCTAATAAGAGTGGGAGATAAGTACATGCAGCTGTTTCTGTGGCGTGATGATCCTTCCCAATTACCGAAGGTTTATGTAATGGATGTCACTACATTTGGTTCAACTTGTTCTCCATGCGTAGCACAATACGTCAAAAATTTCAACGTTCAAGACTTCGCAGAACAGTATCCCACTGCTGCTACAGCTATCGTTGAGAATCACTATGTAGACGATTACCTGGATAGTCTTGATACAGTTGAGGAAGCGGTGAAACTAGCATTGGAGGTAAAACTTATCCACACCAAAGGAGGTTTTGAGATGCGAAACTGGTTGTCGAGCTCTAAAGAAGTGCTGGAACAGGTCGGGGATTCGAGCCTAAAATCTGTCAAGAATTTCAATACACAACCTACTTTAAGTTTTGAGAGAGTGCTAGGAATGATCTGGGTGCCGGAATCAGACGTCTTCACTTTTTCTGGAATTTTCAATCAAGATAACACTAGTTTACAAATCAACATAAAAAGTGTGAACTTTAGTGGTTGACCAACGTTTCTAATGCAAAATCCTACGCTGAATTCAATGCCGTGGTCAGAAAAAAAATTAAAGTAGAGCCATTTTTGAGATATACAAAAATTTTGATTTTTTGAATTTTGGACAAAAGTACGATTACTAAAATGTCAATATCTTTGGAACTAGTGCACCAATTTTAAATCTTTTTTTTATGAAAGTGAAGCTAAATAAATTTTCTATCGTTCACTAGAATATTATGTCTTAATTAAAAATTGAATTTTGAAGTCATTTAAAAATAGACAGCATTTTTTTTTATTTTTCCTGCGAATTTTCCAAAAAAAAATTTGTTTTAATCAACATTTTTAATGGGATGAAAAGATTCAAAAAATCATTCCATAATTTATTCTTAAAGTCCATTAAAAACTGGAGAAAATGAGCCTTTAATGGATGAAATCGGTTGGAAATTGTCGAAGTTATGAATTTTTTTGTAAAATCATGGAAATTTAATGTTCCAAGATTGGCCGTTGTCCCGCTCCTAGGTTCATGCACTACTTACAGTAAGCCTTTCTGCGGACGTGTACGCATACGGTGCATTTCACTAACACTACCAGCTGTCACGCAAAATTAAATGGGATATTTCAACAATATAATTTACGCTAGTGTTTGTGAGATCGCTCGGCGAGAACCTAACGCAACCAACTCAATTTGACAGCTTTCTTTCTTTAACATTGCTTAACGATTTATACGACAAAACGTGAATTCAAGTGTAAAAATGATCCTCAAAAGTTGTGTTACGCGTGTGGCAACTAGATATTTACAAAATCGGTCAATTTCACTGCTTCGTTGCAAACTGCATACAGGCTTTATTTTAAAATTGATCCTGGAGACTTTGACGAACCGTGGATTCCAAAAGTATTATGTAGTTCGTGCAAAACGTGCTTGGCTAGGTGGATGTCAGGCGCAAGGTAAATTGATTTTTTGAATAACTTTCATATAAACAATTTATGTACAGCATGGTAGTGCTTTGTTCTTTCCTGATCGACATTATCTTACTTCATCTATTTTGATAAGTGTTAATGTCTTACTTACTAACTCACTTATTTGTTATCTGTCAGTCGCTATTTGTCCTTTGACATGCCCACCATATGGCGTTGACCGTTTTGTCATGCAACGGATTGTTATTTCTGCTTGACAAAAGTTAAGCAACAAGGACGTCACAAAACAGTTGAGTATCCACAAGTGGCTTCTATGATAAAACCTGTTCCACATTCAAGTTCGGTCCCGTATCCTGTTTATCCAAAGCGGAAACGAGCGCCCTCTGTTGAATCGACCGTTACAAAAAGTGAGGAGGAATTCAAGGAGGAATGCGAGGAAGACTTCGAGGTGGAATTGGAAAGAAACCCAAAACTGTTTACACAATCCGAATTTAATGATTTGGTGCGAGATCTCGACTTATCGAAGGAGAAATCCGAATTGCTGGCATCACACTTGAAAGAACACAACATGCTGAGCAAGGAGGTCAAAATTTCTTGTCACAGGAATCGTCACAAGAAATTTGACAAATATTATTCTACAAAGGACAAGGCATGTTTTTGCCATGACGTAAACGGCTTGTTTGAAGAGTTTGGTGAGCCATATGATGCAGCTGAATGGCGTTTATTCATCGATAGCAGCAAGTTGAGCTTGAAAGCCGTTTTACTGCATCAAGGGAATGAGAAACCTTCTATTCCATTAGCTCATGCCGTTAATATGAAGGAAACGTATGAATCAATGGCTCTATTGCTCAATTTGATAAATTACAATCAACACAATTGGAAAATTTGTTCCGGTCTTAAAGTGGTTGCCATGTTGACTGGATTGCAACAGGGATACACAAAATATATGTGTTTTTTGTGTAAATGGGACAGTCGAGCTCGTAAGGAACACTACGTCCGAAAAGATTGGCCAAAACGGGATAATTTCACAATTGGTAAAGACAACGTTAAAAATGATCCTCTTGTGGTAAAAGAACGCATAATACTTCCACCACTACATATAAAACTTGGGCTATTCAAAAATTTCGTCAAAGCGTTGCAAAAAGAAGGGCCGGCATTCCAGTACTTGAAATCAGTATTTCGAAATTTATCTGACGCAAAGATAAAGGAAGGTGTATTTGTTGGCCCACAGATCAAAAAACTGCTCAATGATTCCGCATTCAATACAGTTTTGACACCAGATGAGGAAGAAGCGTGGAAATCGTTCCAGCGTGTTGTCACAACCTTTTTAGGAAATTTCAGAAGCCCAGATTATGAGGAAGCCGTCGATGAATTGCTCAAAAATTATGAGAAAATAGGTATAAATCAAAAATATTGTGTTTGTTACATATAATTAATTTCAAATCCTTTTATTTCACTGAACACAGGTGTGAATATGTCTTTGAAGATACATTTCCTACATTCTCACATGGATTTTTTCCCGGAAAATCTTGGTGACGAGAGTGATGAGCACGGCGGACGTTTTCACCAACAAATGAAGATGATGGAACGTCGTTACCAAGGGTTTTGGGATGAAACAATGATAGGTGACTATTGTTGGTTTCTGATTCGAGAAACAAGTTCAAAACATCGAAGACAAAGTCATTCGATTCTCAATCATTTTTAATAAAACCTAAATAAATTTCTTTTGTATCAACTTGGTTTTAAATCCTGCTTTGCCTTAATCAATTAATCAAATTCATATGTAGAGA